ATTTATTTTGCAAACCTATCCCGAGAGTCAGAATTTATTACAAAATATGCGCCTTCAGTGGGTTGATCTTTCCTGTCTTTGGAAAACCCCAGGATTTTGTAAGTGGATGAGAGACAGAGACTCAAGGAGGTCTAGTTAAATGTTTTGTAGAAGTTATCACTGAATCAAAAAAAGTCAAAAGATTTCATTTGGCCTCCTCATTGCTATTGCATTTGCAAGGAATGTTGCAGGCAAAACACTCCAGTCTTATCAAATCATTAACATTGATTCTAGTCTTAATGGGACCATTTGTTTTTCATTTGGAGACATTATCAAGCATTTTGACTGGTGTATATAGCTTGTAGTAAAAAGGCTGTTACATAGCAAAGTTCTTTACCTCATGAAAAACTTATGCTCCTTCTCCTCATGAAGGATACATGGCCTCACTCCAAAGAATTAAGTATTTTAAAATTAAAACAATTTCAAAGCTGACACAAATTATTTGGTGAAAAGTAAACAACTGTTCTTTAAAAAATGTTTGGATAATAAAAGCAAACTCTTGTGAACGCAGTAAACAAATTTTAGTTAGGCATAATTGGATTAGTTATTGGTTGTACTCATTCGTGCTGGAATTTTTCCTCCTGATGCCTGTGTGCTCTACACTGCTTAAGTATGATGTGAGATAATATGAAACGGTGTATTGACGGCACAAGGAAACTATTTGGATGGCTGTCTGGAGTTGCCATTATTGGCTTTAATTATGACTTGCTGTCCTTTGGGTACTAAATGAGCCAGAAAGGGCTTCATATGTGCCAAAGTATTCATTAGTATTCCCCTTTCTGTCATTGTACTTGCAGAAAAAGTTTTTTTCTGGCACCTGACTGCAGTTCTTCTTAGCATGGCCCAAGATGCTTTGCAGATTTTGATAATCATCTGAAAGCACACCAGCGTCTCTACTTCTTGGATACAGTAGAAGTTGTTCCTAGGTAACAGTGGCACAACTCTGACCACTTTCTGATGTAACTGGAGAACAAACCCTTTTTGCAGTTGTCCAGTGACACGGCTGCTTAAAATCAGTGTCATGGTACCAAATGGAGGAATAAAAGTAGTTCTTTGTTTCCCTCTTCCTGGTTAGGGGACCTGCACTATGATTTTTGGGAAAGTTCCTGTATATCATCATTTTAGGACCCTTGCCTCAGTTCCGTATAGAATTAATAATGAAACCACAAAAATCTTTCTGAAATAAAAATAGCCTTTGGAATACATTTTGGTAATGAAAAATTGTCTATAGCAAAGTACTTTTTTCTCTGCCATGAGGTGTCTCTTGGGTAGGTACAAAACAAAACAATCACTCACAAAGAATATTCCATGAACTCTTCTGACACTTCACTGTGGAGGCTGTGCTGAGAACGGTGACCACTCCTTTGGCATCTGCTCTCGAACAGACCAGTGCACAAGGATGAACTCCTGCTCCAGTACATATTTACCATTGCAAAACTTAATTTTAATTTAGAACCTTCTTTGAACTGAACTTCAAGTCATATTTTTAGCAGCCTTTGAAATACTGTCCTATGGAACACCAGACTGTTCTTAGAAATGAAGATTTTAACTAAGGTGGTGTATAAACAGATGCTCCTCATTTTGGAGGCATTTGGTGACATCTTCCACTTCTCATCTGTCACATTAGAGCATAAACTGGCCTTTACTGAAGCACACAGCTCTTCTTGAACCTGTAGGACTCCAGGAGAATGCTTACTTCTGTGGGCTGTTTCACAGCCTTGTTCTCCCTGAAACCCAAGATCCTCACACTTCTCAGACTTTTATCTGGTTCATGTAGGGATTTCTCTTTAAGCATTCCTACCCAATATTTTGCTTCTGTGGGATGTTTGTAGTGAAAAGATGATTAGCCAGAGATCTTCAGTATCGTGCCCTGTTCACGCAGGAGGAAAGCTTCCAGCTGGACAGCTTGGGCTGGTGAGGAAATGGATGAGAAGGAAGAATGCTGTCTCGATATATTTTAGCCCTTATAAACCCATTCTCTGAAACCTGGAACTCAGTTGGGATATGGGAAAGCAGTGCAATGGGAAAGAGTCCCTGCCTGCCTGGTCTGTCATCCTCCTCCTGCTTATCTAGCCTAGGTTAGACAGAATATGCTATTTCCAGGGTTTCCTTTCCTGCTCTGTACATTCAAAGAACGTGCCATCTTCCAGGCACAGGGCTCCTCACTACTGTCTGGCATGTCTAGTTCAGCAGTGTTGATCTTTATGCTTTCTGAAACATGGTTTCAGAGACTGGTGGGGGGAATGGGAATTAAAAAAAAAAATCTTTCTTTTCTTTATTTGCTCTTTGTTGTAACTGCAGAGTTTTGCTTCTCCCTACAAGCGCGGCAGGTGGTGCTCTTGGCCCTCCCAAACACAAGCTGAACTTCCTAAATTCCAGTCAGCCAGAATTGTGCCATCCTGCACCAGCTGGCTGGTTTTAGCCCTGTCACATTCAAGGGCGGGATCTTTGAGCTTTGAGTGAAGTGTTTTCTACCAGTGAAGGGGAAAGAAGAGAAAAAAAGGTACTTTAGTAAGAACTGGATGTTGGCAGTAAATGAAGAAAAGGTCAATGAAAACAAATTAGCTAGTTGGCAAGTACATCCTTAATTACCACGCTATAGCCCAGTCCAGCCTTCTGTCCCAAATTTAGATGTGTAACCCATAAGGCAAACACTGTAGCTAATAAATGGAATGGTTCTGTTGAGGTCCTTCCTTGTTGTACTTTAAGTAGCATCCTACTCTCACCTACACATTGTAATGTCCCACTGCAAGCACCCCAAAACTTGTAATGGCGATTATTCCAATGCCAAGGTGTTCTGGGATTTGAGAATAGCCACTTGCTTGTTTCTCAGCTGGTATCTACAATCTGCACTGAAGATCGTGCATTTGCTGTCACCCCTTACATCTTACAAAATCTGGATCAGAAAGGCCATCACCAGCAGGGAAGTAGATTCTCTTCCAGCTGGTAACAAAGAGATGATAATTAAAATTGGCAAGTGTCATTTGCTTTTTTTGTTATTTTGCTTTAATAACATTGCAAGTGGAAAACGTGCCTCTCAAGATTTCAAAATTCTTAGTTGAAAATATTTAAGAAAGGAACTAAAAATAGGCAGTTCTGAGCAGAACTTCAAAGTTTGGGGAGAAAAATTAAGAATATGTGCCAGGTATGTAGTCACTCCATCCTTACTCAAGCTTGTTTGCAGCAGTCTTCCTGCAAAGGCATCCTTGCCAGTTCTTTTGAATTTTTCTTGTAAATATATGTTCCTGAGGCATTTAGTATTAAGTAAAAAAAAAAAAAAAATGGTAAATTCCCTCTTCATTTATTCTAGCAGCGTTTAGTTCTACTGTCCCCCAGTCCTCTCCTGTGTATGTTAACTGTGCTCAGAGATGTGGTAAAATAGGGGAAATTGCATGTTTCACCCCTGAAGGCATTGAAATACACTTGGTTTTAGGCTTGTTTTCTTGGAGTGCAAGGAGTACTTACCAGTAGATGGTGCTGTTGGTGCATTAATAAGGTTCAGTTTCACATGTTTTCTGGTCTGTGGTTGGAATTTGTTTAAAAAAAATAGAGAACAAAACGAAACCCAAAAAAAAAAAAAAAAAAAGGAAAAAAAGAACAAAACAACAAAATCCCCAATGCTAAGCTTTTATCCAAAATGTTCTCCCCGCACTGAACCGGTCACCGTTTAACTTTAACCTGAACTGTGGCCCAGGAAATCCTTCAACATAAATAACCTTGGAAGCTGCCATGACCATTTTTGGAACGTGCTGCCTCAATAAATCTGTTACTTTGTTGTGCAATGTTGAAGTGTGCAGTTGTTTCTCTGATTAATTAGGGCAAAAAATAAACTTGCACGATCAATCCAAGCTGTGACACATTTCAGCCCTGGCTGGAACATGTGGGCAGAAAAGAGCCCTCTCGGCAGACCCGCCCCAGGTTTTAGGATGCATGCTGGTTTGGAGTTTACTCCGTTTGATGAGATAAGGTGGCTGCCAACAAAGTCCACAGTGAAGAGTTTTGGTCTGTCCCAGAACTGCCACGCTAGGTTAGCACGGGTAGGACTGAACACAGTAAGAAATGATTCATCTTGACCACTGCCCCCACTAAAGACAACATAACAGAACCGTTTTATGTAATTGTGTTTATTTTATTTCACATATTACCCATGGAGAACAGCTGATACATTCTCTACATCTTTCACCAGTCTGGAATGCAAGATAAAAAAAGGTATGGAAAAAGAGTTTAACGTTTGACATTCACGATATGAAAAATAGAGGGGATACAATGTTTTAAAATGCCCTTATGCAATATATATATATATATATATATATATAAAACGTATAAAAATAAAATATATTTTTCAAAAAAAAGGTACAAACATGACATGACACAGAACAACCTTAAATACCGATACATATCTCATGATCCACACACACCGCACTTATAATTAACAAAAACCACGTACAATTGCACTTTTCCTCTCTGTGACGTTCAAGTATATCGCAGTCCCCGCAGGGACTAGTGAGTGTCCGATTCCCTGCCGGGTGCAGATAACGCAGAGGGTAGAGCAGATGTGGGCGGCCTGTCCTTGCCCAGAGCTGACGGGCACCCTCAAACTCGCGAAGGCAGAGGGCGAGGCCGGGGCCAGTGGCCCGCCAGCGGGTCCCCCCTGGGCGGCGGGGCTCCCCTGAGCATCCCCTCCTCGGGGCAGCGCTCGGGAGGGACTGCCCGGCGCCGCGGGTGCAGCGGCGGGCGGGGGGCGGCTCGGCGGCGCCTTCCAGCCCTGGGCGGCGGGTGTGGGAGCCGGGGGGCCTCGCCCGGGGAGGGTGGGAGCGGGCGGCGTGCGGGGGGCGCAGCCCCAGCGGGCCCGGCCCTTCACAGCTCCCCCGCGGAGGGCGCGCCGGGTCCCGCCGGGTCCCGCCCGGGCGGGCGCTCTGCGCGGGTCCTGCCGGATCTCAGTCCGCGCCTCAGTCCATCCGTCGGGGCGACCTCGGCCGGGGCGTGCGGCGCTCACACCTCCAGGACGGGGTCGAGGGGCTGCGCCCGGTGCGTCCGTGGGCGCCGCCCGGCTCGGGGGGAGCGCGCTGGGCTGCGGCGCTCGGGCAGGGACCGCCGCCGCCGACCGTAGCCCTGAGGGCTGATCTTGTTGGGGGGAGCGGTGTCGTCCTTATCCTTATTGCCGGTCGTCCTGTGGATCTCGTCGACCAGCCTCTGCACTGTGCACGTCCCGAAGCGGCACCCCATGCGGATGGCTTGGAAGTGGGGGAATCTGTTAATGCTCTGGCGGTAGCGCTTGACGCGGATGTGAGCATCCTCCCGGCTGCTGCGAGGCAGGAAGAGAGAGAACGGGCATGAGAACAGCGCAGTGGGGCCCCGGAGGAGGGGACCCGGCGGGCGCGGGAAGGGGACGGGAGAGCAGGGAACCCCCCAGGCTGGAGACGGGCTTGTCCCGAAGGTGCCCAAGTGCCTCCCACCACCCCCGGCTCTGCCCTCCGCCGAGCTGCCCATGAGGGGAGAGGCCCCGCCGGTTTATGGCTATTACTTTATCTATGGATCCAGAGCTCAAGTTACTATTTATATCTGACGTTCGCAGTAAAGGCGCTACTATCTCCCGCCAGCTAAAACGCGCGGGGAAAGGGAGGCGGGAGGCTGCTTTCAGCGCGATGTGCAGCCCGGGCAGGACCTGCCTCCGGGTCTGGGGGAACTTATATCGACAATAACCCGAAACACCCGGAAACGACGACCCTTAAACTTTCCACCGCCTCGAGCAAGTGACCAGAAAGCGCTGGAATTTACCTGGGATGCGAGACTCGGGGATCCTCCTTCACGTCCTGGGTCCGCACGAGAGGCAGCACGTCGGCGGCTGCCCCCAGCCCTCGGAGCACGCCCGCAGGCTTCACGTCCCGCTTGGCTCGGCTCAGTGCCCATTTCGTCCATCTGAAAGGAGCACAAGGGAAGAGGACAGCCTGTTAGCGCAAGCCTGCAGGGCGGGAGCCAAACCAAATAGATTCGAGGGGCGAAAATCTTTGCCAGCGCCGAGATTTTTTCCATTTTTTTTTTTTTTTTTTTTTTTTTTTAAATTTTTCTCCCAGTGTTTCCTCAAAGTGCATGAGGCCTTCAAGGAGCTATGCAATTCCCATAGGGAGTCCGGTCCCTCTGATCGCGGCCGGAGCCCGGCGCGGGGGCGCGGAGGCTCCGCAGCACTGGGCGCTGGCAGGAGAGCGCGTTCCGATACTCACTTTCTTTTGAACTCTGTCGCTACGTCCACCCTTGCAGCATCCACCCCGAAGAAGGTCACAGAACCGAGATAGAGCAGAGCGACGTGAACTAGTTTCATTCTGGCTGGGCTCCTGGTGGAGGGAAAAGAGAAGAACCGTAAGCATGCTTGCTAATAAAAGTCAAGTAAGGACTGTCCTTTAGTTCTGGTGATTCCACAGAGCTCCTTTCCCCGCAGAGCCCCCAGGCTACTGGGGACTTTGTGTCTGATACGAACCAGAAGCTAATATTTGCTCAACAACTTATCACAGAGTAAATAACAGAGCCTCCAAAGTTTACGTTTGTCGAGCGTTTTTACTTGCAGAGGCAGCTGAAAACCAGCAGGATTTCCAGAGTACCCCCAGCGGCTTGCACTAGGATTTAGCAAACCCATGAGTTTAGAGAGCTGGCTATCGGACGCATCGTTTCCAAACTCCAGCAAGTGTTTTGCTGCCTGGAAGTTTGTCCCCCGATAGCTCCTCTTCCCACTTCACATGCAGAACCAGCTAGTTCTGGATCTTACGTTGTAAACTGAAGCTGATGCCAAGAGCCAGTGCAAGACTCCACAGCATAACTCCAAGCTCTTCAAAACAGTCCAGATTTAGTAGATTCTTACTTCCTCTCCACCTCCCCTGAATCTTTTTGTTGTTGTTGTTGTTAAGGAGGGGGGAAAAAAATAGCTCTTACCTGACAGTGAGGATAATCCACTGAGACAAATGTTTTTGTAGTAGCGATCCGAGCTTGCAGGGTTTCCTGAGGAGCGAGAACTCCTCCTTTGTGTGTCTGAAGTAACCACTGCCGAGCTGCGCTCCACCGCTCCCTCTTATAGAGCAGCGCGGGGGAAGTGGGTGGACCTTGGCGTGGCTGGGCGATTTTTCTTTGACACTTACCCCCACCCCCACATTTCAAGCCCTCCTTAAGCATTCTAGCCTGGATTGGGGGCAACATATACTAGGGTAAAAATAAGAGGATTATTTAAAATTATCTTAAACAACCCTCTTGGTATTTTGTTAATTATAACGGCAGCTTTTAGGTGTGGATTCCGAGTAATGGCATAACTTGCAAAATCTGATAAGCCCCCTCAGTCTGTTTTACCGGGAACAGGCTTTGTAACTGCTGATATATAATTATATTTACACGGTCTGTAGCATAATTTCTCATTCTAGACATCTTAACTTCAGGTGGGTGGAAGCAGGGGAGTGGGAACCAGATTCGATGCATTTCAAAATCCACAAAAATCCATCAAATACCAAAGTTCCAAAAATAAACCCATATTTGGACAACGTGAATTATAATGAGTAACTGTAATGAGCGCCAGCCTTCTTTACATAATTAAGGAATATCAGACATCATTAATATTTATGACCCAGCTTGGGTGCATGTTTTATCTAACAAAATCTATTTGATTTATTTGATCGATTCAAATAAATCACAATTCAAATGGTTTTGGAAGATGAAGGTTAGAGCCCAGTTCTGTACCTTGGAACAGAGGAGGCGGTATTGCTTTGGGGCAAACATAGGGTCACTGAAACGTCTGGGATTAGGGGCGCCGGGAAGACCCGTCGTGCCTTGTGCTATTCCCAAACCTTCACAGACGTGAATGCGCTTACTTCCCCAGACATCAAGCTAAACCAGCTCAGGATCAGGGTCTCTAACAGCATTCTCCTGGCTGGCCAGCAGCAAACCCTCAGTCAGATCACCTTGTTGTTTGGGGTTTTTTTTACAGTCTTTAGAGTCTTTGCTCCATGACGCTTCAGAAATGGAGAAGTCTGGCTTCGCAGGGGGTGCTGGAAGCCATCGCCAGATGGACCGTGTCTCTGCTTGCTTGTCACAATGCAAATTCGGCGGGACCGAGCGAAATGCCTCGGGAGATCTGTGCCCTGGGGCGTCAAGGTCCGTTCCCAGCGAGAGACACTCGGGAGGAAGGAATGAGCCGGTGAGAGGTTTCTCTCACACAAAACCACTTAGTTTTGCCCCAAGCAAAGTGTTTCAAAAATCAGGTGAGTATGTGCTGGTGACTCTGCCTTTCTAGATAACCACGATGGATAGCAACACCCTGGAGAGGTATGTGCAGGGGAATGACGGAAACTTTCCTGTGCGCGGCTGACTCGGTCTAAGGTGCTCTCTCCCTCCCCCCCGCTCTCCAGCAGCGTCCAGGCACCTGGAGGCTTCTGTCTCCGGCATCTACCTGTGCGGGTCAGGCTGGCCCGGCAGCCGCCACCCCGCCGTCCCTCGCACGCTCCCAGCACTGCCTGTCGCTGCTTCCCATCGCATCCCCCGGCCGGCCGGAGCGCGGGGCGGGACCGGCGGCTGCTCCAGAGCGCCAGGACCGCCGGGGCAGCGCGGGGGGCAGCGCCGGGGCTCCCCCGCGTCCCGCCCGCCCGCCGGCTCGGGCAGCTCCGCGGAGCCGCAGCCCCCCGTGCTCCGGAGCAGGAACGCTCAGAGCGAGAGGCTTGGGCTGGAAACTCAGGGGGGAAGGAGTGGGAAAATAGGTGGTGCAGAACGGGACCGTGTCATAACCAGAGCTGCACGACTGCATCAGCCCGCGATGGCTGGGTTTGAGAGACCTCATGAGAGGCAGCTCAGGCTCGAGCGAGTTCAAGCGTTTCCTTGATCAGCAGAAGTCGAAACTGAATCTAACTTTTTCCGAATGGGAAGGCAGGATTTGGTGTGATAAGCATTGCTTTGACTCAAATTAAGTCTCATGTTCCAGTAAAAAAAAAAAAAAAATCACACATTTCCTCAAATGCTGGAAAATCCCTCCTTGTCTAAACGGGAAGTGTATTTTCTATACTCTTAGCCAAACAATGCAGAAAGAATCCTACACTGGTTTAGAAATAGTAATAACAGTAGTAACACAACTCACGTGTGACTTCCATATTGACTATATCTCATCTCACTGATGGAAATCAGCTCGTTCAAATTCATGAGGTACCAAACTGTGGCACATAAATTATCAGTTTCTGGCTGCTGTGATTTGTGAGTTTCAGAAGGTAAAGCTGGTTCAAATCTGACACAAAACATTATGTTCTTTGTTCAGATGCTCATTTTGTTCTTCCTAAGAACTTGCATTACCATGCAGTTTGGAAATGAGCAACAGTCACAGAATTTGTACTATGAGGTAACAGTGATCACTTCTAAAAATATATATAATAGATAGTGAGTTATTTCCATTTTGAAAAAAAAAGTTAAATGCAATGTTGCATTCCATGGAAATATTCACAAACTATCATTCTGAGGCAATGCCACATAATTCAGCAAGACTGGGCTCTGATCTGAAGTGTAGGGTCTCCTCTGGATGCTGCCTCATCCATTGCGGGAAAGTTGGCCTGGAGGAACATCCAGCTCTTGTACTTGTTTACTTGGGTGTGTCTTTGAACCTCTCAGTGTTGCCATATGTACAGAAGACTTTACAACATGTATCTCTTCTGGCAGGGAGATTGTGATGATTAGTTGCTATTTATAGAGCATTTTATTCAGGCTGAGATTTATTCCAAAAGAAAAGGTCTAAAATCTGTAGGTATCGATGGGGAATCAGTTTGAGGCAAATGTTTTGTGCTGATTATGGAAGAAAGTTGTTTGAAGCCAGTGGAAGTGCCTTCACTTTGGGTTTAAACAAATTTACTGAATTCACATGCCAGAGACTTGATTGTATTTCAGGCTGTATGAAATCAGCAGAAAGATAACACTAACAGAAGAATGGCCCCCTGTGAAGGATATAAAACCTCAGTCAAGCTCCACGCAGAGAAGCCTCACTGTTAGTGCCTGCACTAAGCCTGTTTTGTCTGTGCCGAGGGCACAGCATCAAGGAGCAGTTTCTGGCAGTCCCATTGGAAGTAGTTTTGGTGAGCCTTATGTCTGATAGGATTGAGTACACAAAACAAAGCCTCCTAAATGAGGGTGGGAAAACCTATTCAGGATCATGGGTGCTTGCCTGTTCTGACATGAGGTGAGGTGACTGGATTAAGAGTCTGCAGCAGAGCGTGACTTTTATATTTCCTGAAGGAGGAGTTGTAGAAGGTATTGTGAACCTTCACAACTTGTTGTTGGTAAGTGCACAGTTTGAGTGTGGCAACATTGTCCCTTGAGTGCTTTCTGACTCTTGGGGAGGCTGCAGCCCCACAGTTCTTCCCCTGGGGTAAGTGTATGGCTGCTTACTGGGTGCTTCCAGGCCTTGGTGACCTCTCAGGGTGGATGGTCTGTGAGCCCCTGGCTCACATAGGGAATTATGTTTTCTATGTTTGGATGAGTGTCCAGTTTATTTTGCATTAGGCTTTAGGTGAAAAAATACTGTATCTGTTCCACTTCATCATTTGTCCCATAAGAACATAAGATTGCTCTATACTGAAGGGGAGTTGCTCAGACAAGTTGTGGCTGTCCCATCCCTGGAAGTGTTCAAGGCCAGGCTGGATGGGGCTTTAAGTAACCTGGTGTAGTGAAAGGTGTCCCTGCCCATGGCAGGAGGTTGGAACAAGAGGATCTTTAAGGTCCCTTCTGACCTGAAATCACATTTCATGTGATTCTATGAAATAAATGAGCTCAACTGAACTTTCTATTTCTTATTTAAGATGCACCACCTCTTATGACAGGATTTATAAACTTTGGCTGTATCGGTCTAGGTGGAAGAAGGAGCAAGGCTGTAAAGTGGGCACAAGCAGTATTGGGGAATCAGTAAGTAAACATCTTCCTCTTGAACCAGCATTTGTAAATGCTCTGGGAAAGATGTGAGCTATGAGGCATTATTCTCCTGCTAGAGGTGCTGTGTTTAAAGAGCAGTGAGACAACTATGGAGAGTTTTTATGACATATTGAATCTTTTTATGAATGCAGATATGATAACCCTAAGGTCCCATTTCAGCTCCAAATTAAACTTTTCCTCCAGGTTTAGCTGTACAGAACATTATCCCTCACTTTTTAAACTGTTTCATGTCCTGCAACCAAAATGCCTATGCATGATTTAACAAAGGTATTCTGAACTCCTGCCTAGTCTGACTCCACAGAGTGCAGCTCTTCTTCAGAAAGTGGAGTCAATCTTTTCAATGCATATATTATCCATTTTTCTTTACTCCTAAAATTAACAAGCAAATATTTCAAGATTACATCTTTAAGCAAATATATCAAGATTAGATCTTTATACATGTCATTTGCTTCAAAACAGCTATGCTACGAAGTTGATTGCTCCAAGGAGATGCCAACCACTTCGCTCTGCCGGGAAGGCTCAAGCGGGAATACTGCTGGATTGTCAAAGTTTACCAACCAGTTTGCATCTGGCTTATCAGCAAGACACTGCATCTGTGTGTCCCAGCTAAGAGGCGTAAGACTTGCGTGTTTGAAACAGAAATGTCTCAGACCACTAATGACTGCCTGCTGGGTCCCTCGTCATGATGAGTGGCCAGGAGTAAATCCAATGAGTTTGCTGCAGTTCCACATGCATCCCGGTACCCACGGCTGCTGCAGCTCCTCACTGCAGTGCAACAGATGTCCTTAGGGCTGTTCGTTCTCTCTGTGCTGTCAAACGGGACATACATGGGAGCTCATCAGAACGTTTTTGCAGACTCCACCAGCTACCCAAACGCTGTGCTGTCAGACATCACGTTCGTTCATCACCAGCATCTCTGCCACCGCTGGCAGAGCCCACTGGGCTTTCGAGGTCGACAGTCCCAAAGGTGTCGGCCTGGTCCGTGCATTGTAAACAGCAACGCGGCACCTCCGGCGCTGCCACCGCCCGTGCCCAGCAGCATGGCCGGGACCAGGCGGGTCAGGCGGAGGCACCGCCGGGCTCATCCCTCGCCT